CTATATCTATAGTGCATAGCTAGATGAAGTCTGGTGAATTAAATTTCTTTAGAAAATAAGTATTACAATATGACAGATATGTATTGATGCACATTTGATTACTGAAATTTTATGTAGACTTTCTCAATCAGACTTGAATCCTAAACCAATTCTTATTCCATCATCTTCTTGGCCCTCATAGGTAATAATTGAACTCTAAACTAGTTCTCAATGCCTCTAGATCAGTCATTCTCTCAGCGGGGTTTCCAGATCATTTTCATCAGTCTCACTTGGAAACTTACTAGGAATGCAAATGCTCAGGCTACTCCCAAGTTTTACTGTATCATAATCTCTAGGTGTAGGCCACAGTAATCTATGTTTTAACAATCTTCCAATACATGCAAATGATTGAGATTCATCAATTTACACTGACAACTCTTTTCCAGTCCCACAGCTACTCCAATATTGAGATTATTGTTGCGTCTCATCTAAATTATTGTAATGGCCTCCTAACTAGTTTTTCTACTTTCTATCGCATTCAGGTGATTTTTCCTCAAACTACGCATAAACTAATTTTTCAACAGTGCATGGGAAAAAAAATTAAAAATTCCTTATTGCCCACTGAACCAAGCATAATCTATTAGTCTGTTGTCATGACCTCTTCACTCTGTGTCTACCCATCCTCTTCAGTCATATCCACATTTAAGCTTTAGGCCACATGCCCTTTACTCCATAAGTAAAATGAACCTCCACTGAACAAACTATACTCTTGAGGTTCTTCATAGGACTTTCTAAAATTCTTTCCTTCTTTGTGTTGCTGGAACATGGAACTCTCCATCTACTCGCTCTACTCATTCCCAATCTAGTATCCAGGAATACATCTTGCTCCACCATTAAACAGTAAACCCCTTTAAATCTGTCACATCTTACCTAGCAAGAGTCCTGACAGTGACAAATATTGTGACCTAAAAATAGCATATGGTTGGTCATGGTTGATCCAGATTGCTCCCTATTCCAAATTCTTGCTTCTTTAGTTCTTTAAGATCCACCTCAACTATCATGTCCCCCAAATTTCCAACTCCCCTTCTTCAACTTGGTTTCTGGGAAGATATAGAAGAATAGAGGTGCCATAGGCAACAAAACAATGCTGTTTATTGCCTCTCCACCTCTTTTCTATGCTTTTGTTTCTTGACAGCTTGTTTTCCTGATAGGATCCCTCGCCACCAGCCCCACACCCATGCTCAGATGCCATAAAACAGAATTGAGACAAAGTGTATCTTTCATTGATGCCATCCACTTTACTTAGAACTCTAAAATGGTTCCTGATTCTTCTTTATAATTCTGACCCTCTCCATTAAAACTACCATCTCCTTACTCTGATTTCAAATAGATTAGGAAAGATTAAGGTATTTCAAAGCCACTGAATACACTTAATTAATCTAAATGATACATGAAGCAGTATTTCATGTATTTTAAGGACTGTATTAGGGACAGGTAGAACTTGCTAGTTCTTCTTAAGTTGCTTCACTTGATTATCTTTAAGGATAGTCCTTATAATTTAAGTAGAAGATACATGTTATTTTAGCTCCAGCTCATTCCAGCAAAGGATGGAAGAAGTAGTCAACAATTCTTCCATTTCAGTTTTCTATTGATATTTGTCTCAATCCTAAATTTGGCCATTCAAGTCTAATAATATCTAATTGTGGTAATGATTATTGATATTGATGAGATTTTACCAGTTCATCTCCGCATAACAATCAACAGATTTCCTAAGTGTGAGTTTGTGTATACCTAACATCATTTGATCCTCACTACAATTTTGAGATTAAAATAAGATACCATCTATCTAATTCTATAGATGGAAATGGGCTCTAAGAGTTAGAAGGGAAATATGCAAGATCATATAAATATAAATATTCTCAGGTACTATTCAAAACAATCTTGTGGATTCCAGTTAGGAATTTTTCTTCTCACCATACTGCTTCTCACTGAGGGCTAAAATTGCCACTATAGAGAGAGGCACTAGAACAGAAAAGTTCTTAGTCAGTCTGAAAGCAAGATTCCAGTGCTTACTGCTTTCTGTGTTTTAGAATTTCTTCCATGGACAGTCCTCATAGGAGACACAGGAGTACTCAACTTTGCATTCTTCACCAAGTAGCAATAGTAGCAGCTACCATTGAATTTTCAGGAAAAAAATTCACTCAGTTACCATTTATAGTTGACCTTTAAAAGATTATCATGAAATTTGTTCTTACACTGAGTTTATAATCAACCCATATTCAGTACCAAAATATTTTTATTTATTTTATCACCATAGGTTTTCCCCCAGGTTATTCCCCTCTGCAAAATCAAGCCAAAGATTCAACCATAGTAAAGTCATAGTCCTACCTAACCATATCCTTCATAAACCCTATTATAAAGGAGCCAAATTTTTGAGATGAGAAGCCATCCTTATGATTTTTGGCACTTTCAGAATTTCCCTACTCAATATATACACACATAAGCCATCAACTATCTTAAATGTGTTATTGCATCAACAGAAGAGTATTGAACTGTCAAATTTAGAACTAGCAGTGACTTCTGAGTAGGCTAGAAATTTGACGGCATATTCTATGGACATAACGTGTAGTTTCTGAAGTTAGGCACAGAAAAGAGAAAATGAAGTATCCTTAACAAGTAATTGCACTATTGCTATTTTCCATTTTACACATTTCATTTTGAGTAACTTTTCAGAGATAAGGCTAATTTTTCTTTTAAAAACTATTAATCCAATGTAACTCCCTTATCATACAAATACTCAAACAGATACTTAGAAAAATTTCATGTTTTCTCTGTTGCTGACAAATTCAGCTATAGAGTTGCATCTTTTAAGTCCACTGCTCAATCTTTCTGATAGGATTACCTCAGCAGTATTTGAACATCTCCATGAAGTTCCATTAGTATTAAACATTTTGGGACTATGTTAAGTATTTATTTTTGTGTTTGTAAGCAGGATAATTCTTAAGCAAGTATCTTTATATTCTCATATCTTTGCACACTCTCTAGTGGAAGTTCTATATCATCTGTTGATGCAATGAATAAATAAGCAAAATATTAAATTTGTTTTATCTGTGGTTTTTCTTTCTATCCTGATGGTAGAGCATAATTATCTGGTTAGATTGTCAATATGGGATTACTGTTGCACCAAGCTATCTTTACTAATTCAGAGAAAAAGGAATATTTTGCAAGCAAGTATGGGATTATTTTGCAAATTAATATACAATTGAAAATACTGATTTGAAATATCTATATCTTACCCTGAAAAAGGAAAATAAAAGAAGCACACTGAGTGGCTTATCTAATTCATGATTTTCAGAACTAATACAAATTTGTGCAAAACAGTATAAACACTCATGAATTTGTATTATTTACAAACTTGCCTAAGCTATATTTGTCACTTATGGTGGAGGATGAGTTTGCTCCATTTTTCAATAGTGTCTGGAAATCATAATCTTCTAACATAATTTATCTCAAAATAAAATCATTTTCTATTAAATATTCTAGAATGTCATAATTTATTGAAATTGTATATATATGCTGGGAAGAAAATAAAACTTAGTATTGAAGCATTAGTATTTTTAGATGATTGAAATAAAAAAGTCTCTTGGTTACTGAGGTATTACCTAAGCCATTGCTGTCTCTAGAAGTAAAAGCAATTGTCTATTTAAGTATCAAAGTAAATTCTTAAAGAAGTAAGTATACACTGAAAATAAAATTTCAGAATCTGTCAGATTTCCTTGCAAGTGATAATGACTATATATATATATATATATATATATATATATATATATATATATATATGCTTGGCAAGGTGAGTTTTGATGATAACTTTATCTCGTGCATAAACTATTTAGAATTCTTCATATCATATTTCATATATTTTGAAACCTACTTCAAATATATATTATATATAACATAATAACTTACTATAATGCCCTAGGTACTGTAGCAATTGTGAAACCGGACTTTAATAGGTGTCCATAATTTCAAAAATAATTTTTTGAACACATTCTCCTATTTCTCTAGGAATCAATACTTACCTGACATTTTGTATCATATTTTCTCACAATATTTCAATAAGGTTTTTCTCACTTAAACCCCCAGCAATTATCTGTGTGTCTAAATACATATATTTTCATACATATTTTTATATTTGAAAGCAATTGTATACTATATTGAAAATGTGTCAAACTGCGTTATATCAATTTTGCAGGAATTCCTTGCATTTGAAATATTCCTCAAGGAGTTGAAATTCTATACTATATTCATATATTTTTGCATAACATAAGATTTTATCTTCATTAAATGTTACACAAATATAAAGGTTTTCATGCAAAAGTACCATATCCCCTGGTTTTTCATTAAATAGAATATAAACATATAAAATTACAAAAATTAGGATATATAAGCTTTGCAACTATTTGTTTTCATGGCTTGAGCATTTCATTATAGCCTAATGTATTTTGTCACAGTGTTTGCAACTAGCAAGAACACATTAATACACACATGTGCACATTAGAAGTACAAAAACCCTATATCATGCAGGAAATGTACAAGGCCTCATTTTGGATATTCAATCTATATTATACACAAGCAATATTATATTTATCAAATATATCAATATCAGTAGTGTGTTCTTAGTCTTTTGTGCTTTTGTATTTTTTTTAATTTTTGCCTGCAGCATGCTATTTGCTACTTTGCTGTAGGTGACCCCTGAAAGTACATATGTAAACCAGTGCAGAATGCAGTTCTAAAATAGCTGTGGCAGCAAAGAAGTATGAGAGACAGAGAGAGAGAAGGGGGTGGGGAGATTGATTTATCTCTCATGAAAGTCAGTGGTAAAATTTCCTTAAGTGCAATTTGGACTTCATTTTCCTTTTGAAAACTTTGCTGTGGGGGTTGCTTGCCCCCTTCAGGGCACTGCGCAACCTTCGCAAGAGATCATTTAGCACTACTTTCCACCTTGGAGTAGATCTTCCTACCTTTCCAGTCTTAATTCTGTGAGAAATGGCTGCAAATCGATGGTTGAGCTCTGAGATTTTAGGTTCTACTATTTTCCTGCAGTGGTCACCGCGGTTTGCCATCAAGTTCGCTGCTTGATCACGTGTGGAGTCCACCTTTGGGCGCATGTCATTCATTTCAGCCTTTAAACGCTATATTCCATGAGCAAGAAATAGGGCTTAAGGTTAGTAGTGGAAGTAGAGACAGAGAGAGAGAGAGAGAGAGAGAGA